AATAGCCCATACACACACACACACACACTAGTGTCACTTCCTACTAACGATCCAAATTATACGCATGATCTGTTGAATCAATTTATCTTAACAGATTTCAAGTCAAATGAGCTGACATATCTCAGGCAACTTCAAATACTAACTTTATAAAGAAATCATTTGATTAGGGTAATTACATTAGGCAAACAGTTTTCGAAATACAAAATTATAAACATTTAAGCAAACTAACTAAAAGTAAATGGAGTCAATTGGTTTCAACAAATCAGATTTAATGAGAAAGAAACAGTTTACGATCACTCAAATTATATTAACTGATCAAACAAAAGATATACACATTGGTCACTTAATTTCATTCTTTTCTATTGAATACTGTTGTTAGTATACGTTTAAATTGTTATTGTACCCATTGAATACTTTACTTATTATCTGGCTTCACTGGCTTCAAAATCAACGCATGGATCATATGAAGCAATAGACGCAATATAACAATCTACTCTAGCTGTCATGTAGATCCAGCTGATAAGTACACCATTTGAAATGGTGGAGAAGATTTATAGCTCAGATGGATAATTTTGATGGAGTTTTGTTCCTTTGAACTTAGACAACAAAACTCCATCAAAGTACACCATTTAGACATCAAAATAACTCACACCATAATGGTTAATAAATTACATATTACACTTTCTTTTATCAGTGTCTTTTGTCAGTACAAAGTATTTATGAACATTATAGAATTTTTATAGTTTTAAGCAAAAATTGATCTGGGCTCAATGGTTTGAAGGTTAAGCTTTGGGGCCCGAGACATAAAGTCCTGCTTTTATTGCCTATTATGAATACTCACTTATGAGGACTTTTTTTATCATGAGGAAGTAACTACCTAGTACAACCTGGTTTTCACGAGTAATTTAATTCAAATCAATATCTTTTACTCAACATTTCTGTCCCTATTAAATTGTTCCATAGTTGAAATATTCTCTTCATGTTTACGTAACTCTTATTTTATATCAATCCCCTTTTTTAATATTATGTAATCTATCAACTCAATATTTACATTATCTAATCCACTCATTTACTAAATAATGCTACTAATGATAATTAACACCAAATAACGCACTGATGATAAATCCCTTAGTAAGACAAAACGTCCACCCATGGCTTCCAGGTTTTCACTAATGGTCTGACATTGATCGGTTATTGATCTAAATTGGAATGTTATTCGCCTTATCCAGATCATCTTTATATCATTCATAAATGTTTTTTTACATCAATACAATTTAGATTTATAATGTTAATTATTATCCAACACATCGTGGACTTAGTCTAGGGCATACTAATCGATACTCTGACTAAATAAAATACAACTGTTCCCCTACATTACGAACAGATTGCATGTAGCCAAATAACTAAACAGGAAAATTTCTTTATTTCCGCAGACACACCACACTGGATGACCATTTCATCCTAGTGTGTGACTTATCAACAGTGTGCATCCACGACCCTATCACAAAACATTGAACCCAGAATCTTCAGTCTTGAAAGAAGATTTTTCATTTCTAGACCACCAAGGCCGCATCGAATGTGGTTTTTGTCTAACTTTATTCAGTTCACGATGTTGTACAACCCTCACTAATTGTTTGAAGTCAGTAACCGTCCGGTATCAGACTTGGTAGAACACCACTGGTAAAGCTTCACTTCAGAACCCCAGGAGTTGCACCTTGAAGTTAATATTCAGTTAGCACATGATTAATGTCAGTATAAGGGTATTTGTGAAGACTTCAGGGCTTCCATAATCTTGAATCCGACGCCCAGGTTAGGTTATGGGTTCACTTCACTGGAACGTCCCATAGTAGAACGAATCGAGCATCCACTGCAACTAGAATTTTAACGATGGTCTTGGTAAGATCAGCTCGTGCTTTAAAATAGAAAAATTTTACTGTCTCCACAAGTGCCCCTACACTAAAGTTACGTGAATCAAATTGGTAACTTCATATTTATGATGTTCATCATGAAAGCACAAGTTCTTCTTTTTCGTCCGGTATGGGTTTCAATATTATTAGAATGTTCAGCACTTCACCGAGATTATTTCCAAATTATGTTTTGTAACAGTTGAAGTTCCATAGCTAGTTAAAATAAGAATAACTGACTTATACGTATTTTGTTTTTATCGAATTTTTCACTTCTTATATAATACAAGCAATTTAATTGTTTTTTTGGTCTGTATTCGTCACAGACTGACCTCAGCTGAAGTATCATTCAAAACCAGGACGCATAGTTTCGTCCCAGTATTGAACTCTTCATCATTGATCACTCACGACCGTGCTAACATCAGGATATTCAAGTAGACGTCCACTGGTCCATTTCCAACTTCAGTCAAATTTAGACACAGTTCAATGATCATCCAACACCATTAATAAAAAGTGTTTCACTCACAACAGGTATGTTTTTATGTATTTATTTCGACACCATTGTTTATTTCCTACTAAATACCTATAATCTATCTATCTATAACATATGTATATTAATGAAAACTGATTACTTAATAATTGAAGATAAGAAGTGTGTTTATGATCGAGTTACTGATTAAAAGTTGGATGAGGGCTAGCAGTGGAATCCAGGATGTTCACTCCGGGACTTGAACCGTCCACTTTCATCACCGCCATCGCGTTATCTACTTAACTACTGAGTCCTTATATTCATGTTCTTGTATAATGGGGTGGAGTTTAAATCCACTTGATAGTGTTTACTTGGGAAGATTCAAGCATAGATTCACCATCCATCTTTGCTTACAATGCTTGTGACTTAAGGCGATATCAAGGCAATCTGAACAAGATGCACATATGCCAATAAGAGATTGAGCGATTGCAGTCCTAAACATCAATGGGAAGATTCAAGCAAACAAAACCAAGTGGATTTATCGATTTGCTTATTTAAACTGTATCAATATAAAAGGTGCAGTGATAGATAGAAATTTCATGCGACTCATGAAATTGGAATGAACCGTGTAAATAATTATTTATTTGGTTTCAGTTTCACTTTAGAAAGGACAGAATTCTAAACGGCCTGTGTTAATTCTGACAACGATGATCTCAACTGATCCAACTCTTTCTTCAAAGAGTCAGTAGATGGAGCTTCATACACGTGTTGAGTTAATGAAGCCCACTCGTTGCTGACTCGACAGGAAAGTCGATAGTCAGCTGACAAGTAATTTATTCTGGGCTTGTGAACGTTTTAGAGTATCCTCGTAAATTCTCATGCAATAAATCACAAGAGTAAAACCGTGACGATTTAAACGAAACAATGATAAATACCTAGACACATTTACATCACAAATAATATTTTATCAAATCAATGATGAATACAATTCATTTTTTCAATAATTGAGATCATGAGTCAATTGATAATAGACCACTATAGAATACCTGGAAGCTGTATTACTCATATTAACTTAGGTAAATGAATATATAATCCGATTTCGTAGATAAGTTGAAGTTAGATATTAACACCATTGGATCCCGGTCATCTCAGTGACCTAGAATTTAAGCGCTTGTGAGCAAGACTGATGAATCCTTGGGTTCAAACCCCGCAGGCCTAGATTGTGGATGAGCAATACCGTTGAATGCTTCTAGATTTTCCTGGTGATCTAACTTCAATTGAATCACGAACTCAACTGTTAAATTATATAATTCTTTGTCCATTATATTAATTATACATAATTGAGGCATTATTATCAAAATCTATTCAACATGTTTGTTCAGTTGTTTATTTAAAATCAGTATTGATATTAGTAGTATCGATAATGACAACTAAAAAATTATAGTAAATAATAGTTTTTTTCACATTTCAAAAAAAATTCGTATGTATCAGCAAAAACAGAAATGTCTTGATTTTAGTGAAAATCACAAAGAGGAACAAGCGTATACAAATGAAAAGGTAAACAAATAAGACAAAATTCGATTTCACGTAAATGTCAGATAAATCAAATGGTTTTTTTGCTTTTTTTATTTACTTTCTTTTTTTGGTGGTGGTGGGGGAACATTCAACAACGAATTTATTCCTTATTCTAGAAACTGGTCAAACAAACTCTTTTTTAAATTATCAGTTTAGTGGTTTTGGAGGTTGTTAAGTTTTTTGATTGAGATCATAAACCGATTGATGTTAGGCCACCGTTGTAAATCTGGAAGCACTGGACGGCCGTTCCGTCCTATTGTAGAACTCCTCAGCAGTGCGCGTCCACGATCCCGCTGGAGGGATTAGAACCCAGGGCCTTTGGTCTCACGCGTGAACGCTTAACCTACTGGGCCACTGAGCCGTGGATGCGAATTGCTGAGAAGTCCCACAATAGGACGAAACGGCCGTCCAGTGCTTCCGGGTTTTCAATAGTGATCCAACATCAATCGGCTTATGATCTCTTTTTCAAATGTATAGAAATAAATCAATTTTCTTCTTCTTTAATTATAATTAGAAATGATATTTTCATTATGGTAATGCACTACTACTTTATCACCAAGAACTGAACTTGTAGAACTTTTAGTTACTCAACAAGTGTTTCACCCTTTGAATTATTGAGTTTACATGGTTTGCATGTATAAACTCAGTTTTACTTCATAAATTATAGGAAAATATTATTTTGAAGATGGAGATATGTGGAGATTGTAATCATCTTAATAATTGAATTTATTAGTTTAACTAAGCTAGACCATTATTGAAAATCAGGAACAACTGAATGGCCGTTTCATTCTAGTATGTGACCCAGAAATGCATGTTACAATCCCGCAGGCAGAACTTCGAATCCAGGACCTTCAGTCACTCACGAGAACATTGAACCTCTATACCAATGAGACGACAACTAATAGTATTAATGACTAAGTTCAATTGATCCACGATCTTGCACAACACAGATTATACTCCGCTGACCCGGAATTCAAATGTTAAAAAAAAAACTATTTTTCCCTTAAAATTACAAGTATATAAATGAAAACCATTATTATGATACTACTTACCTTTTGATCTTGACGTCGTACAGCATCATATACTTTCCATACTAATTCTGGTCCACAACTTGCTGTTTGTTTCTCAATAATAAAATATTTAGTAATTGGATTTGTTGGAAAATCTATAGAAATTTGCTTATTACTTCCAATATTACTGATGTTATTACTATGACTAGTAGTATAATTAGTGTTACCAATGTGATGATGATTATTGTTATTATTTACATGTGATGCATTCATTAAGAATCAATATGTAGATTGTAAATATTTCATCAAAAATATTCGAACGATTTCCATTCAAGTATATATGTGAATATGACTATTCAGACTAGTATCAAAATACATATACTATTTATATACAATCATTTCTTAGAGTTAAATTTACACTATTATATTATTCATCAATGTTATACTACTCACAACGTCTATATGAAATAGTAATATATACATATATTCAAATATATCCCATCAATAGATGAACCAATCAAATCTCAAATAGAATAAACCAATCATATTTTGAGTAATAATTTGTAACTAAGACATGTAACAAATATTTCGGGATTTTTTTTTTATTCTTTTTTTAGAAAATTTAACGTAACAGGTAAAAAAAAAACAATGAAACTTTTCTTTTCAACAAAAAATTAGTTTTTTTATACAAAGAATTCAATCTTCAAAAGTTTCCTTTGTAAAACACCTTTTTCGTTAGAAAAAAAAAAGAAAAAGAAGAGAAGAAAAACTTGGCAGTGAAATACTAAATCAAATGCTCAACTTTATTAGACGAATAATTTAGAGGATTTTGTGATATGAGTATAAAAATAGAGTGAAATAATGATTAAGAATGAAATAGACAATGAAATGAATATGAAAGGAGAAGAGAAAAACACTTTCAAGAAAGGTAAACAAAAAGAAACGTAGTTGTAAAAGTGAAAAGTTAGTGAAAATATTAATGTACTAGTTGAATTTATGAGTTCATTGAAACTGGATCATCATGGAAAAGTTGGAAGCATTAGACGGTTTACGATGGAGTTTTGTTCTCTGAGCTGGATGGTTTGGTCGTGGAGCTTTCATCGTTCTTCTGAATGACATGATCAGCACAAACTTCAGATAGAAGTGAAGTGTTCGATTTGTGTGCCACACCTATCCCGAAGGTTTTCAGCAGTCTCGTTGCGGTTTCTGATATGCCTTTTATGTATGGTAGGGAGATCCTTTAGTTGATTTCTGTGCTTGACGTAGGTTCTGATGCTGCGTGCGGTTGGTTTTTTTTCATATCAACCAAAACAAAGAAGTAAACAATGGCAAATTTAAAGTCAGTAAGAACCAATCAACGTCGAGGTGTACGGAACAAGCTGTGAAACGCATATGGAGAAATTCGAACACTTCACTTCTATCTAAAGTTTGTGCTGATCATGTCGTTCAGAAGAACGATGAAAGCTCCACGACCAAACCATCCAGGTCAGACAACAAAACTCCATCAAAATCATCCACCTGAGTTACAAATCTTTTCCATCATTAGACGGTTATTTCGTCCTAGTGTATGATTCTTCAACTATGTATAGAATAAGTGATTGAATAGGAAATAATTAAGAAGATTTGAAGATATATTTTCCTACAAATGAATGATATTTTAGTTAAAGGATGATGTTAAGTAATGAAATCCAAGACATATGTTTTGTTTTATGTGAAACTCATTGGTTAGATATGCTCAGTATTCTACTGTCGAGTTATTTGAATCAACATGATAAATTAGAGACAATTCTACCCTTAAAGTCAAGTCATAGAGATTACATTCCATAAACATTTTATTCATAAATTCAACAATACAATGCATTATTTCTGTCATACAGAAAAACAATAAAAGTTGTAAAATCATGAATCCCTTAAAGTTGGAAATTAACAATTTTGGATGAGGGCACAGTAGTTTAAAGGTTAAGCGTTCGCGCGCGGGATCGATAAGTCCTGTGTTTGAATGTTGTGTTTGGGACAGTAGATAGGGACTTCTGAGGATTTCCATATTAGGACGAAATGACCATCCAATGCTTCCGGGTTTTCAATGGTGGTCTGACATTGATCGATTCATGATATCAATCTAAATAAAAGATGCCTAATGACAGTTTTTACATCAACAACAAACAGAAAATCAAATGCAATGATCAAAAAACAAACAATATGAATATGTGCAAAGCACAAACTAAAAAAATAAGATGACGAAAAGATGCGTTTTTTAAACATCATCCACAAAATAAATGGATCCTCTCTAGCTGATTGAAACCCAAAACATTATATTCAATAACCACTGATTTTGATTAAAATGGACGAAATGGTAACTATTATTAATATCGTTTGAAGACAGGTCTACAACTCATTACACGGATGAGAATTCGAAAATTAATAAGATGGAATTTGTTATATCCTAGTGAAGATTAAAGTACCAGTAACTTCTGAGACCTAATAGTGGAGTAATATTATCTATATATTCTTATTATATAACTGTTCAGTAGCTAGATTGTATATATATATATATATATATATATATATATATATATATATATATATATATATATATATATATATATATATATATATATATATATATATATATATATATATATATATATATCCCTTATTATATGCTTCATTTTGACCGATAGATTATTATTGTACGACTTACTGTTTTCCAATTATACTCAGTTTAGTAATTACTGTTTCCCACGTTCACAGCCACTTTTTGGCTTTATTGTGTATAAATGTTATTTCCTATTTTATGGTGCGTTGCGGTCTATTTGGTTGATATGTAAACTCAGAATGTTTGAAATAAATTATTTGAATTAGTGGAGGATGTTGTTGACATTCCAGACTCAGCTGGACGGGTTAGGCGAACAGCAGACCAATAGGACGCTAGGCTGATCAGACCGGTTGGACGTTATTGGTTTAGTAAGAGCGAATAAGTCGTATTTTGATTGGCGAATAGATTATGTGATAACTAGCGGGCCACCAAGACACAACCGAATGCATAGAGTAAACAGAAGAGTTGCACAGTTTCCATAAGGTTCAGAATAGGGTAAGTGAAATAACAATTAATTTAGCAAAGATTGGTTTTATTTCATTTTAACACATAGATATTGGTACAAAGAGGCACCAAATACATATGCGCCACACAAATCTCATTTGATACGTGTGAGGGATGTGATACTGCCCGGGTGCCCAAATCGAAACAGGTGGTTTACCTAGGGATCCACACCCGGAGCCTTCGACCTGAAGGTCTGATCCACAAGGCAATGGACCAACGTAAGGAGATGCAGTCCCATTGCAGCCGGCGACAGATAATTGGTGCATACACCTTTTGTTCCTTTAGGATAATGGAGCCCATGTACACCATTGGTTTGGAATCAGGGTTTTATAACTCCCTAGGTGAGCCTACATGTTCACCAACCCGGTTAAGGCGCCGGATCTTCGCTTTTCGTCCTCTCACTTTCGTAAACAACACCCGTGGTGTGAGAAGGCAGTGAGTAGGACTTCCCTGGCAGAGGCTATATACGCGTGACCATGTGAGAGCATCTTGAGAGGGAGAGCGGACTCTTCTCATTCTCGGCCGTACCGGGGCATTTGGGGGTAAAGATTGGTTTATGTTTTCTTATATTTCTTTTCAAAGATTTTGGAACTTTAATAATACGATGTCGATTTGATGTACTGTTTTGGGATCGGGACATAATTTATTTTCAATTTCTTTGAAATGTACAAGGAAATACAAACGTGTATATGCGTTAGCACGTACATATAAATTAACACATATAATTCAAGATACTGAGCATAGAGGAGTTTTAGATCTTTGATTGTTTAACGAACATTTTGTTTCACGCAAAGTGATAAACCCCACCTCTGAATAAGTACTTTCAATACAGTAATAAATTTGTTGTCAATAATACTAACAGTTTCATTCCCTTTAAAGTATAAGTGTGGAAAAAAATGGTTTCAGTTGTGCTGTATTAAAATGCAACCATTCGTTTCAACATACATGTCAAAGAATTTCTGTGGTTGTGGCTTATATGACCCCATGTCCTCCAAGTGCTTTCTTAGATTAAACATTTACATTAGGATTAAAAAGCTCTTACAATCATTCTTTTACAGACTTTTAAGTCTAAACGTTTATGGTCTAAATAAGTTTAATTCCGTATATTTTTGTAAGATTTTGCAATTCAATGAATTCCGAACGGAAGGCTATATAGGTATAATCATCTCAAAAATTACATGGCATTTCGTACTAATGACCACCTGATTAGTGTAGATATCGTAGACTAACATGAGATTGATTATGACATAAATAACTGAATAGTTACGTATGTAACTGCAGAAGTAGTTACTATGGACTCAATTCTTCCGAATAAAAAACACTGTCGCCAAACATCAGATATGCCATGCTGATAATACTAGGACGAAACGGGCGTCCAGTGCTTCCAGGTTTTCCATGGTGGTCTAGCTTCAAGTGACTCATGATTTCAACCTATGAAAATATCAGATCTAACATTTATTATTGTAGATGTCATAATGTTATACCCTGTATAATGATAAGTAGAGATAGTAACTTTTTAGTCGGTAGAAGGATTTGTGTTACAAAAGTTAAACTATCTACATTAAATAAAGATATTCACTGGAATTAGTGCTATTATGAGATTTTAGAAACTTCGATAAACAATATGTTGACTACTGACAAATAAGAAGATTATTTTACTAATAAAGAATAACCAGTTGATTTCTGGAAACTTATCAAAAGTTTACAAGGAAACGTATTGCTCAAAGTATTTTTGAATTGCTTTTAGACGTCTTGCAGACGTTTTCAATCTATATCATATTATACGTTTTGATAACTTGTATAACCTGATATCCAGTGAACCAGTAGAGAACGTTCTGAAATGGTTGAGAAGATCTGTAACTTAGTTGGGCGATTCTGGTGGAATATACTCTTTCTGAGACGATCGGCTTATTCGTTGAGCTTTCATTTTTCTTCTGCATAAAATGCTTAGCAGTAATAATGAAGAATTCGAATTTCTCCATATATGACAGACTGTACTGTGGACCTTAGTTTTGATCGGCTACTACTGACATTTACTCTGTCATTACCTGGATATTTATATGAATTGTCTTCTTTTTACACATGATTTTTGATGTTATTTATGTTTATACCTATATTTTATTGTTCAGTCAAAATCGACCCCGAATCAAGAATCAGGTCAGATGGTAAGGTA